GGCGGCGCGGCGGAAGCGGTGTCCTGGTCTGCGCCGCTTCCGGCTGCTCCCATTGGCTGGGAACGGAGATCCGTGGCCAATGGGAGCTGCGATCGCCCCTACCTGCACACTGGCAGGTAAATGGAACATCAGGGGCCGGGCAGGGCTAACCCTGGCGAACCGCCGCCGTGTTACTGCCCAGCCCTGCGGTAGCAGCACGCGGACCAACTCGAGATCCTGGCCGGCCCCCCTCTGCGGAGCTCTGTGCAGGAATCCAGCGCCAGAGGGGACAGAGGAGAGGACCCCTCCGCCCAATGCAGAACAGCCATTGAAGGAGGCGGCAGCACGGGGGAAGCAGGAGTCCTGCAGCAGCTGCCACCTGCCACAGCTGCTGTCTGGAGGGGAGAGTGCAGGTTCCCTGCCGGGTGTCCGTGATCGGGGAGATGCTGAGGCCCTGGCGGGGCTATTAAGGGACAGGGGAACACCCCAGCCAGCGAGTTGCCTCTGCTCATTCCGCCTCCCGCCTCATGGACTCGGGAGGGCCAGGATACAGGCCAAGCGGGGGGGGGGAGACAGGCCTTAAGGAGGCAGGGCCGGCCCGGGCTGCACTCCAGAGTCAGCTTCCTTTGTCGAGAGCTGCCCCAGAGCACGAAGCGGCCTGTGCCGGGAAACCCACAGGAAACCTCGCCGCTGGGGGCGGGCAGGCCCCTGCCGTTTCCCGGGGCGACGGGACTCTCTGAGGCGCTGGGGAGCAGCTGCGACTTTCCGAGGCCTGCAGACGTTCCAGACCCGCTCCCCAGCCCTAGCTCTCGGCCAAACTGCTGGCAGGAACGTCTGCCTGCTTTGCCTACGGCCGCAGCCTCCCCCGCTCCCCCCCCCGCACCACTGGCTTGCGCTTACAGTAGGGGACACGCCAGTCAGTGCATAGGGGCTGCTCTCTCTAGCCTCACGGACAGTGTTCCCTAGAAGCAGAGCGCTTGGGCAGCCGCCCAGGGGAAATTCAAGTGCCACCCAGCTGATTCGCAAAGCCCTCACAGCCGGCAGCGTACGTTTCTATTGGTGGTGCACATCTGCACAGGCCTTGGTGCACCGAACAAAATTTATTCTGCACATGGATGCAAACTTAGTGGGAACATTAGTCGCTGCTTCTCTCACCACAGGCCTAGGAGAAACAGCTTGCAAAGACCAGGCCAGGCCTGTGACAGTTGTGGGGTATGGATCAAAGAAATGTTTGGAGATGGCTGGAGTTTCTCACCCTCGTTCACGGAGGCAGGGGTAGCAGCGCGCTGGTCCCAAAGGCCATGGGTGGAGGGCACCGTCTGTATCTAACTTCTTCTGCTGCCCTCTGCGAGCCCCTGGCCCCATCTTCCCCGGCCCCCGCCCACCACACTCGGGTTCCCAGCCCGACGGACAGCCATCGGGGCAGCTTTTACGGCGCCACGCGCGCCAGCCCCCCCGCCACACCCGGCTCCCTCTTACCACGTATTCGTCAATGAACTGCCGGAGGTCCTTAAAGCCGTGGTTTTCGGCGATGTTGTTGGGGTAGTGCCCGGCCCTGTTGGCGACGCTGTAGGCCTGCAGGGCTCCCGGGCATGTGAGCAGCAGTGCCGTTAGGTTCTTCAGCCCGTACTTGGCAGCGAAGTGAAGCAGGGTCGGCAGCTCCTCGTCCCGCTGATCTGGGAGAACAAAGGCTTTTCGGAATCGAGCGCCTCCCGGAGGGCAAGGAGGGCAGTGGCTAGCAGAGGGGGAGGCACGCTGAATATCCCGGGAAGAGCCGCTCCCGTCAGAATGGAGCGGAACCAGAACGAGCCGTCTAGGACATCTGGATCCTGGTTCCCGTTGGCTTTCCTGGGAGTTTGGCATCCAAATCCCTTACGGCATTTCCAAAGCGCCGCGTAGCCCTGAAAACCGCAGCTTCAGAGACGCTTGGAAATGCTGCAGGAGGGCGCCCGTGCCTAGCACACGCTGGCGCTGCATTGTGCCCAGTGTGCATTGCTTGGGAATAGCAAGGTGGGCAGAGAATCGAGTCAAACCTAGAGCCTGTTTGAGGCACCCTTCCAGGAGCCTTGTCGCTAAGGGAGGCAGCTGGCCTCACCTCCATCTAGTTCTTTTTTGAAGCCTGTTATAGTCTTGGCCTTCTCAACATCCTGTGGCAAAGAGTTCCACAGGCTGACCGTGCACTGTGTGAAGAAAAACTTCCTTTGGTTTGTTTTAAACCTGCTACCTATTTTTTTTAAAATGGCTCCCATCGGGTGCTCAACAGCATTAGGCACTTTTGAAAATGTTGGCCGTCGATTGTTGTCCCACCTGCTCTAGGCCCACTAAAATGGTTCTTTCCTCTACCTGTTCTGTGTTACAGCCCCATAGTTCCATTTCACATGGTGGTTTAGGTCAGTGTTTCTCAACCAGTGGTACCAGTGGGGTACTCGGGAGAAGTCTTGGGGGGGTACATCAACAACTGAAATTTGGAGAAAACTGAATTTTTATTTTAAGTTTTACAGCGGTTTATTATTTTTGTACTTTTTACATCCAAAAATTTCATCGCCCACCCAGCTACGATTAAGTTGTTTAAACAAACGTGTTGCAATGGTAGAAAAAAAAATTGTGTGTCTAAAAACTGTAGGTACTGGGGGTACTTATATGTTTTTTTGGAAAAGGGGGTACTTTTTTAACTTTATAAAAAAAGGTTGAGAAATACTGGTTTACAGCTATGTGTTACACAGGCAGAGTTATAGTGGGGATGCTTTTTAAACACTTACTTGTCGTCATATCTTCTTCCTCCAGCTGGTTGATTCCAAACAGATGCAAGCCACTTGCCGGGATGTTGTTCTTCAGGGACTCAGTCAACAGTTTGTCCAGAGTGTCTATATTATATGGCACTATTTTAAAGGCCTGAACACAAATGAAAAGTAATTTATGTTGGAGGCATTTTCAGTTGAGTGTGGATGTCTAAAGTAGGTTAAAAATAAACCTTACCGAAAGCTAAGTCAAGAGAAAAGAATGCTAAACACGCCAGGGGCCGGGAAAGTCAAAGGTAAAGGTTGTATGTGCAATTTAAACAGCTTTCTCATGCATATTCATGATTCATTTAGTTACATGATCAGGAACTGCCATTCTCAGTGACTTGAAGTATTCAGGTTGGAAGCGCAGCGAACGCGCCTGGAACGCCAAGGTTACATCAGTTTTTGAAACGGGAGTGAAAAATGAACGAGTTACTTTTACTCTTTTGCAAAACGCTCTACAGGCCTGGTCAGTTTCACAGGTGGCAGGTGGCTCTGATGTTTAGATTTCCAAATGATTTGGGTTTTTCTTGACGCCTTATTCCGGGTTCTGTAAAACCCAGTTTCTGAAGGTAGTAAAGTCTAAATGGCAGGACGTGGGGGTTAAATGACTCCACTTCCCATGAGCTGCCCATAGAGCTGGGAGTTACCATAGTTCCGCTAAGGGACAGAGTACATTCTGCTTTCTGCAGATGGGAACCTTGGTTAGACCTAATTCATACTGGCCGCACGCAGACATCTCACACTTCTCCCCTTCCGGTGAACTCTTCCCTGCTCGGCGCTTTGGGAATCTTGTTTGCCCACCTCCTGCCCCAGGCAGGGGTATTTCAAAAGTGGCTTTTTCTCCACTCTCATTACCTGACACATGAACTCCACGGGATTAGCTGCATTGGCCAACAGGTTACCGATCTCTTCCATGTCAGTGTAGTAGCTGATGTCCACTTCCCCCACCATCAAGTCCCCTGAATACAGCCGCAGAGATGCCGCTCCAGGCGCTAAGTCTTTCAAAGGAAAGGGAAACAATCAGAAAGCCAGAAGAGGCGCTGTCCCCCCCCCCAAAGCCATTCGATGAGTCTGACATGACTTCACAAAATGTCTCGGCTCAGCCTGAATTTGCGTCTTATGATGGAAAAAACTTTCAGATGCAAAATTTTGCCCAGTTCTAATGAAGACCTTTTCTCAAATGAAGTAACAGAGCCGCCTGACTCAAGCAATATAACATGGATGTGAATTAACTAACAGTATTGTATAACCACCACAAATTGATAAGCAGAGTCCTGCAAATCCATGGGTATCCGCTTTATAGCTGCGGGGATCCGAGCCAAGGTTATCCACGTCTCATTTTTGCAGATATGGATGCAGATGCAAATGTTGTATCTAGAACCCTGCAAACATGCGGACAGCCACTTTATATCTGCAGGGATCCGCATTCACGGGCCTGGATGCAGATGGCCATGGCTCATTTTTGCAAATGCAAATTTTGTATCCGTTCAGGGTTCTATTCGTAAGATGCCTCGGGATCCCCACTGCTAAACTCTGGGTCAAAAACCTTTCCGTTTGGGTGTTTTACAAACCCAGAAGAAACCAATAGTTTTGCATGAATTAAAGAGCAAGCTACACTCATCAGTTTGTGAGAGGCTTTTGTAATGAATACTGTACCGCGCCTATGTATTAAGTCATTATTATATATATTACTGTTAAGACGGAGAAAGGCATGTTTGCTTTTCGTCCCTGTTTGGGCTGATGCAGCAGTTTAGACTGGGCTGATAAAAGTGGTGTGTGCGTCTTATCTGTGAAATTCTTGGACTCTGCAAAAAGCGGGGGGAAGAGCAGGGAGCTGTTAGCTTTGGAGTAAACCCAGTGCACACCCTGTCCGACCTAGCAAAGACAAGCTAATGTGTAATAAACCAAGGCCACAAAAATTAGACCAGTAAGAATAAACAACTGCTACAAGATAAGAACAACTGGATGGAGTTGACAGCAAAGAATAGATGTACTGGAAACCAGACAGAGAAAAGAAAGTCGTAGCAGGAGAAGCACAGACATATTAATTGAGGTGAGTTATTGCGGTTTAGACCTGATAAGGACACAGATTGGTAAACTGAGTCTGTGCAAGTTACAGAACAGGGAGTGAAAGACAGAGACTGACAATGAGAAAGTGGAAAAGACACTGGGGAGAAGCGTCAAACACAGCAGAGATCTGCAGCATCACTCTGACCCCAGGAAGGTTACGCCATCTTTCACTTTTCTTGCCCTGTCTGGTTTTGCATGGGCCTAATGTTCCTCAGTGAGAACCTCAATGTCTTAGAGCCCCCCACAACCAAGCCTAAAAGAGGCTCTTTAAGCCTGCAGCGAAGGGGTCTCGTTTTTCACCCAGCCCGTTTCACTTTCGATATCCACTGATCTTTTACCCTTTAAGTCCTCCACACAAGGAGAACTAACGAAACCTGCGGAAATGGCAGACTTCCTCCTGAGTTCTATGCTGTGCCTCCACGACCCAGCTGTGTCCTTGGACGCTATCCAGTAGGAAGAACGCCGGTACTGGTGCCAACCTCTCGCTCATGCCCTGCCACTATTAACGTGTGGGTGGCAATGCGACACTTTGCACTTTAGCCTCCCAGTGCTTTACAAGACATAATTGCTCTTCAGAATTCCCTGGGAGGATGGCCAGCATTACCATCCTTTTGGGGAAACACATACACAGGAGACAAGAGACTCTGCCAGTCCCACGCTGCGAGAGATGCCAGGAATAGAAGTTTGTGGTTTCCCTGCCTACAGCTTTTGTGTTCCAGCCTCTAATTGCTCCTGTCTACAACTCTCGGGCAGGCCAAATAAAATTAGTTTAATTCCCACGTTGTCCTACCTACCACAAGCTTGCTCTACCTACCAGGAGAAGTTCTACCTACCACAAGCTTGCTCTACCTACTAGGAGAGGTTCTACCCTCCTCAAGCTTGTTCTACCTACCAGGAGAGGGTCTACCTACCAGGAGCTCGTACAGAGACCGTGTATTCGTTTTCCATCTTGGCTGGCACACGCACCGACTGGGCGTTCTCTGGAGAGAATTCAGCTTCTGTTTTCACTTGACAATCCAGTTTACATTTCAGGATCATATAAAGCGTTGTCTGCACCTAGGAATAAAGGCATCACAACATGTAGGTTCCCACTTTCCTGACACCGGGCTTCAATGCAACCCCAGCCCTTTTGTCTCTGC